AGGAAGTCTCCAGGGAAAGCACCACTTCGAAAAATAACAATACCTGTCCTCAATCCTCCCTCCTCCCTCCTCCCTCTCGCTCCTCCCTCCTCCCTTCTCCCTTCTCCCTCTCGCTCTTCCCTCATCCGTCTTCCTCCTTCCTCCTCCCTTCTCCCTCCTTCTTCCTCCTCTTCCTCCTCCCCTTCCTGCTGCTGCTGCTCCTCCTCCTCCTCCTCCTCCCTCTCCTCGTCCTCCTCCTCCTCCTCCTCCTCCTCCTCCTCCTCCTCCTCCTCCTCCTCTTCCTCCTCCTTAAGTTGAAACGTGCAGCTGTCAGGCCAAATCAGGTATCAAGCGGGAGCCCCGACTTGAAACGGAGTCGCCTTCCATGCGCGTAATTGCTGCACAGAGTTAAACGTCGGGTCATACATCCCCAGGACGAAAGTTTTTTCCTCTTGGGCTCGGAACGACGGCGTGAAGTCTTCAGCAGACCCGTATGAGATAACCGCCGTCGGATCCCATGCAGTTCGCGCGGATCCAAATGTGGCTTTGGTGTTTGTTTCGGTGGATCCGATTCCCATCCGTGCGGATCCGATCTCGGATTCGCTGGATCCGTGTCCGGTCTTGTTTTTTACGGCGGGTCCGATTTCTACCTTGTTTTAGATTTATATGATCAAATTAAACCAGGGGGCCGGAAGACATCGGATTCGCGGACCCCGCAAACCGCCCGTCTTAAGATTCTATGGGGGAGGGGGGTTGAGTAATCAAATTTCTACGATGGGCCCTGCGTCGGCTCGCGCACTCCCATCAACTCCCCGCGCGAGCAAGCCCCATTCAACATGAATACATAGATCCCTCCCCCCCTGGTTGCTGCAAACAGCTCGTCTGGTGGCCGTCCGTTCGGCGGCACCGACGTTGTCTCGCGAACTCCTCATGGCCATTTTCACCTCAAGAGGAACATCTTTCGTCCTGCGTAAGTGCGTTTCGGCCCTGCGTTTCCTCACCCAACGGATTGCCTGTGAGATGTGGTGTGTCGGCTAGATAGTAGCCAACGAGTTCGAAGGCCAAAACGCTCACTCCCAGGACGAAAGTTTTTTCCTCTTGGGCTCGGAACGACGGTGTGAAGTCTTGAGTAGACCCGTATGAGATAACCGCCATCGGATCCCATGCAGTTCGCGCGAATCCAAATGTGGCTTTGGCGTTTGTTTCGGTGGATCCGATTCCCGTCCGTACGGATCCGATCTCGGATTCGCTGGATCCGTGTCCGGTCTTGTTTTTTACGGCGGATCCGATTTCTACCCTGTTTTAGATTTATATGATCAAATTAAGCCAGGGGATCGGAAGAAATCGGATCCGCGGACCCCGCAAACCGCCCGTCTTAAGATTCTATGGGGGAGGGGGGTTCGGTAATCAACTTTCCACGATGGGCCCTGCGTCGGCTCGCGCACTCCCATCAACTCCCCGCGCGAGCAAACCCCATCCAACATGAATACATACATCCCTCCCCCCCCGGCTGCTGCAAACAGCTCGTCCGGTCGCCGTCCGTTCGGCGGCGCCGACGTTGTCTCGCGAACTCCTCCTGGCCATTTCCACCTCAAGAGGAACATTTTTCGTCTTGCGTAAGTGCTTTTCGGCCCTGCGTTTCCTCACTCAACGGATTGCCTGTGAGATGTGGTGTGTCGGCTAGATAGTAACCAGCGAATCCGAAGGCCAACGCGCTCATCCCCATGACGAAAGTTTTTTCCTCTTGGGCTCGGAACGACGGTGTGAAGTCTTGAGTAGACCCGTATGAGATAACGGCCATCGGATCCCATGCAGTTCGCGCGGATCCAAATGTGGCTTTGGTGTTTGTCTCTGTGTTAGATTTATATTATCAAATTTAACCAGGGGAGCGGAAGAAATCGGATCCGCGGACCCCGCAAACCGCCCGTGTTAAGATTCTATGGGGGATCAATTTTCCACGATGGGCCTTGCGTCGGCTCGCGCACTCCCATCAACTCCCCGCGCGAGCAAGCCCCATTCAACATGAATACATACATCCCTCCCCCCTGGTTGCTGCAAACAGCTCGTCCGGTCGCCGTCCGTTCGGCGGCGCCGACGTTGTCTCGCGAACTCCTCATGGCCATTTTCACCTCAAGAGGAACATCTTTCGTCCTGCGTAAGTAAGGAGTAAGCGGATCCCGCACGAAAATTGTAGTTTGAAAAGGAAGCGCCATCCCTTTGTAGCTGTTGGTCCGTGCCACCTTTGGTAATGTTTCAAGGCGAATGTGTGCGGCGTTTAGGCGAGAGCCGCATTTTGGAACGCCATCCACCCGTGCCGCTGCTGGAATATTTTTCTCTAACGTTCTCGGCGCTCAGGCGAGAGCCACTTTGTGAACACGACCTGCGCTCCGTCCGTGTAGCTGCTGGAAGCGTCGAAGACGAGTGCGCGTGGCGCTGGGCGAGAGCCACATCTTGAACAGAAATTGACCTCCACCCGTGTACCTGTTGGAAGCGTGCGCGGCGCTAAAGCCAGAGCCGCAAGCGGGAAACGACATGCGCTCCACCCGTCTAACTGTCGGAAGTTTTTTCGGCGAGCGCGCGCGGCGCTGATGCGAGAGCCACACTGTGAAAACGACCTGTGCTCCATCCTGAACCTGCCGTTCTTTTGAGACGAACGTGCGCGCTGTGAGGGCGAGAGCCACGTTGCGAAAAGACCCCCACCCATCCGTGTGAGTGTTAGGGCTTCTACGTTTCGGGTCGTAAACGGTGAGGAGGTCTCAGGCGAAACGCCCGGCTCGCCCTTCAGACACGCCTGGTGGTCAGGTGGGGAGGGGTTTATCCACAAGGAAAAGGTATGGAGGAGGGAAGGAGGCATGGCTGATGGAGGGAGGAATGAGGGAAGGGGATGGAGTGAGGCGGGAGGGAGGGGGGAGGGAGAGAGGAGGAGGAGGAGAAGGATTAGGTGGAGGAGGATGCAGGCAGCAGGCAGGCAGGCAAACAGGGATAAAGGAATGAAGAGGAGGATGGAGATCATCAGGAGGTTGGAGGGTGGAGGGAAGACGCGAGGGAGGCAGGAAAGGAGAGAGGAGGAGGAGGAGGAGGCGGAGGAGGAGGAGGAGGAAGCGGAGGAGGAGGAGGAGGAGGAGGAATGCTCTCGGATGTATCAACCCGTTGGCCGTAGCTCCCAGGCCACACACATACATACACATGGATTTATGTATTGTGTGCCGATGTGTGCGTATATAATATAAATAAACATCGCCCCCCCTGGCCTGAGTTCCACACCTCCCCGTGACATCTCGGGGACGCTCCCGGTACTGCTCCCCGGGCCTTTTTGGGGAGCCTCCACAGCGCCCCAGGAGGGCCCAAGACGTTTCCCAGGAGCCCCCAGAATGCGAGAGGATGGTCCAAGACGCTCCCAAGCAGCCCAAGTCAGCCTTCGACGGCTCTCGAGGCTTCCAGTTGGCCTCCAAGTGACCCCAAGAGAGGTCCGAGAGGCGTCCCGGGACGGCCCGAAGAGGCCAACATCGTAGATTTTCATTTGTTTTTTTCCACTATTTTTGGCTTCTCGCGTTTTCGAGCTTCCAATGGTCCAAGAGCGCCGACGAGGCTCCCAAGACCGCCCCAAGGCCACCCAAGAGACCCTCAGGACGGCCCCAAGACGGGCCAAGAAGGCTCCAAGACTGCCGAAGAGGCGCCTAGGACAGCCCCAGACCACCCCAGAACAGGCCCAACATGGGCCCAAGAGCGGGAGCAGGATGCTTCCAGAGACCTTTGAGAGGCCTCCCGGACCACCCAGAGATCCTTGAGAGGCCTCCAAACCCCGACGAGGCTCCAAGAACAGCCCAAGAGAGCTGCGAGAGCCGTCCCGAGAGAGCCCAAAGAGGGTAAAATTGTTGATTTCCAAGTGGTTTTCCCAATGTTTTTCGCCGTCTCACGTTTTCCCGCTTCCAACCCTCAAAGATCGAGGATTTTGGAAAAAAAAGAATTCCAAGAATTCTTTTTTTTTCAAGTGGAACTCCTGCTCGGGGGTCCTATACATCCTTCGACATCTTGCCGGCACCGCGCCTCCCGGCTTCCCGAGGGGCCCCCAAGACGCCCAAGGACAGCCCAAGACGACCCCAAGGAGCCCCCAGAACGTAAAGAACGGCCCAACACGCTCCCGCGCAACCCGAGACACCCTTCCGACGGCTCTCCAGGCCTCCAGGAGGCTTCCAGAACTCCCAGGGGGTCCGGAAGATCCCACACCCCTGAGGGGCCTGGCTAACAAAACCCGCGAGGCACAAACAAAAAACAGCGCTGAACAGCGCCGAGGAACTGGACAAAAAATGGAATCCTACAATTCCTCCTTTTTTTCAAGCTTGACTCCCGGTCTACTCTTGCACTGCAGACCACAATTCAGATCCCCCTCACCTCCCAAAAAAGAACCCAGGAAGCCTTTGAGGGCCCCCAATCGTTGAACACATAAAAGAAATGAATGATTTCTGCGTTTCCGCACTTCCCCTTCTATACGATTCCGAGGCTTGCGCAGGGCCTCCAAGGGAGTCCCTGGACGCAAGAAGCGACCAACATTAGATTACATGAGCTAGCCTATCAAGCCTAGCTAGAACTTGAGCGCGCGCGAAGCGCGCGATGGTTCTAGTCCATATATATATACACACATGTGCACGACCAAGCATGTTGTTCATGCTCATGCTTGCTTCGCTTCTTCTTGCGTGCTCAAGTGATGCCTCAGAATTGCATTGTACGCGGTCAGGCCTATGCAGGCCGACAAGTGGTCACTGCAGCGTCATGTCTCCGCCTCCGTCCAAGCTCTGCCCTCCCCATGCCGCCTCCCGCCGTTTTTCGGCCGTCTTACCCGTCCGCACTTTCACCGTCGTCGCCCGTTTCGTGATTCATTCTCTGCGTCCTGCCTCGCCTCCCCGCCACCGTCGCCCTTCCCGTGCTCCTTCTCGTCTTCCCCTCGGGAGCCGCCATCCTCGCTTGATCGTAGCAGCGGTCAGTGCCGGAATGCGTGTGCTCTTGCTGTCCCTGACGTGCAGGAGATCTCTCGTGGCGAAATGGATGCCGCAGCTGTGACCGATGTCTTCGCGAGTGCCGAGGAGCGCGGGACACTTGAGTAAAGCCTGTGCCAGCCCCACGGTCAGGCAGGTCTGTGTCTGTGACCTGTATTTTAGTGTCGGGGAGAAGCTTCCTTTTGCTTGGGGCACTACATACTCCCTGGTGTCTTGACACCAGGGCAACTCGACTCGATTGGCGTTGAAGCCTTTCCGCTGTTGAACCTTGGGTGCTTGCAGAACCGACACACCACCAGCTGCTTTGATAATCTGTACGTGCATATCTTGGATTGTGCTGTTGCAGGCCCTCCCATGGTACATTGTGCACAGTGGTACAAGGTGTACGCGTGTCAGGCGTAGCACGGAGTAATTATAACACTCACATCGGCAATCTACGCATTCCATGTGCAGGGATACGGGGGAAGGGGCAGATACGTGCGATAGAGAAGGGAAGGGGGTGGGAAACTCACGTAGGGTGCATTCTAGAGGCTGCCGAAGAAGAAACGAGAGCGGCGACGGCGACGGCGATGACACCGACGACCACTGTCGTGCTCACGCATAGGTATGTTGCCGCACTGCTCTCTCATATCCCCTCGTCTCCTCATTCTCCTCTTTTTGTGACGCTGCCCTGGCTAGGTTCCTCCTCCGCCTTCCTCCGCCTTCTTCCCCTCACTCCCCTCCTTCATCCTCCTCCATCTTCCCTCTCCCTCTCGCTCCTCCCCCTTATTGAGCGCTCTCCTGCTCTTGTGCGATCCTCGTCCTAGGCGGGGTGCACCCCCTTCACCCAGACAAAAACACAACCAACACCGCGCCACCTCTCCCTTGGGACGACCGAGAATGAGGAACACGAGTGATATTACGACGATGGTGACGCTGATGCTTATGCTGATGCTGATTGTGATGCTGATGCTGACGATACTGCTGCTGCTGATGCTGTTGTTGTTGTTGTTGTTGATGTTGTTGATGATGATGCTGCTGTTAATGATGCTGATGGTCGAGATGATGCTGCAGATGATGATGATGATGATGATGATGATGATGATGATGATGATGATGATGATGATGATGATGATGATGATGATGCTGATGATGATGATGATGATTGTGCTGATGCTGATACTGATGATGATGACGATGATGATGTTGACGATGTTGGTGGTATACGCGTAGGATGAGAAGGCGGAGGAGGATGCGGAGGGGGGGTGCGGAGGAGGAGCAGGAGGAGTATGTAGATATGATGATGACGATGATGCTGACGACGATGACGACGACGATGCTTGTGATGCTGATGATGTTGATGATGGTGCTGCTGCTGATGATGATGCGTTTGCTGATGGTGATGATGATGACGACGAAGCTGTTACTGATGATGATGATGATGATGATGATGATGATGATGAGGATGCTGATCATGCTGATGATGACGCTGTCGGTGATGGCGATTGTGATGATGCTGCTGATGGTGATGGCTATGATGGTGTTGCTGATTATGATGCTGCTGATGCTGCTGTCGATGATCATGATTGAGAGTATGATTATGATGATGCTGATGATGCTGCTGATGATGGGTACGCTGATGAGGGTGATGTTGCGGTCGGGGATGATTATGACTATGTTGCTGCTGCCGATGATGCTGTTGTTGATGATGATGTTGATGTTGATGATACTGATGCTGATGATTCTAATGATGCTGCTGCTGATGATGATGATTCTGCTGCTGATGATGCTGATGCTGATGCAAATGCTGATTCTGTTGATGACGATGAGGATGCTGATGATGATCCTGATGGTGATGCTGACGCTGATGATGATGATGATGATGATGATGATGATGATGATGATGATGATGCAGATGCTGCTGATCATAGTCATGCTGATGATGATGATGATGATGATGATGATGATGATGATGATGATGATGATGATGATGAAGGTAACGACGATGATGGTGATCATGACGATGATGATGATTCTGATGATGCTGATGCTACTGCGGGCGTTGCTGTTGTGTTCGATGGTGGTGATGATGATGCTGATGCTGAAGCTGATGCTGCTGATGACGATGATGATGTTGCTGCTGATGATGATGCTGATGAGTATGATGACGATGATTTTGATGATTGTGTTGATGATGTTAACGATGCTTGTGATGCTGCTGCTGATGATGATGCTGCTGATGATGCTGCTGCTGATGCTGCTGCTGATGATGCTAATGATGATGCTGCTGCTGCTGATGATGATGATGATGATTATGATGATGATGATGATGATGATGATGATGATGATGATGATGATGATGATGATGATGATGATGATGATGATGACGATGCT